GATTGTGAACAAAATGTGCTTTATACAAAAACTTGAATTGAATATGTATGTATGTTTGTTGATAGAAGCGTTTGGAGGAAACTTACATTGCCGATTTTTATAGTTTCGCTAACTGTGAAAGTTGAATAAATACTCTTAATGGAAGAAAAAATAACATATTTGATTAAGTATACATTTTGTCACATTGAAATTCAAGTAAGGTGTTAATCTTCATTTAATTCATCACCAAGAGGAGGAGACAATCATCAACCTAGCAATCCAAGAGATTGAGGGTGTTGATGTGGAACATAAGAGGCCTATCTACAACTAAGTATGTGAGTGCACATCCGATTTGGAAGATGGCGGACATCCTCAACATTGTTGAGACTTGGGAGCATGAAAGTAATGTTATTGGAGAGATACAAGGGTTTACTCTGGTGGGATCTACTTGGAACCATAGAAATCGACGAGCAGGAAGAGGCTTTGGAGGCATTGCTACTTTCATCAGATCTGAACTTCTTCCTATGATACATTTGGAAAGCCAAGATATTGGGAAACAATATCATTGGCTTCGTCTTGGATCGATTGGAGGATCTTACAGTTATTTGGCAGTTTGTTACTTTGCACCATTATCCATGCAGATCTACTCCACAAGCACTTGCAATCGAAGTCAACCATTCCATCGGCTCATAGGAGATGTTCTCAAATATCAAGACAAAGGTGAAGTTTTTCTGGTTGGAGACTTCAATGCCCGCATACGTTCCGCTCAATTTACACAATTTGATAGTTCCTTGTCTTCTCACTCTTTTGAAGAAAGTAGAGATAGTTTGTGGTCTAGAGTCTCTTGTGATTCTTGTACAAATGATTTGACTGAGCATTTCTTGACTTTTGGAGCCACTTGTAATCTGAAAGTTCTCAATGGTGTTTCTTTCTTTCCCAACTCTCACTCCAATACATGTTTTTCCTCTACAGGTGTTAGCACTATAGATTATCTTTTGTCTTCTGCCACTAACAGTTCATTTATCTCAGCGTTTGATATTCTAGAGCCTCAACCAGAATCAGATCATACACCTCTTTTATTTACTCTTTTGTTGTCAACGTCAATCCCTCTCCCTACATGTCACTATGTTTCTACTTCCCCCAAGTTTTGTTTAGATGCTAGTAAGAAGCAACTTTATAGTGAGCATTTCCAAGACCTCTTGACTTGTACTACTTGGAGCCTTGATCCACATACATCTAGTTTGCAACTAACTGAGTTGCTTCAAAACTCTGCTTCTAAGTTCTTTTTGAGACATAAGACCAGGAGAGTTAGAGGTCTTCCTTGCAATGGATGGTTTGACTTTGATTGCAAGCAAGCGAGGGCGATATCACTTGATAAATCCTTGGATCTTCACAATCGGTTGATTATGACAAGACTTTACAAAGACTTGGTGAAGTCCAAGAAACGAGCATTTTTGAGGCAGAAGCAAGAGTGCTTGACAAAGGAGCTCTTGGAGAATCCCAAATCCTTTTGGAGGCGGTTGGCAGTGCAATCTTCTAAACCTACTCTTGATCCCAAGTCTTTGATTTCTTTTGCTGAAAAGCTTTATTTCTTTCCCAATGTTGCATCTATGCCACATTGGGCACTTTGTGTGCAAAAGAGGGTAGAAGCTGGTTTCAAAGCTCTATATTCATTGCTAAATAGATGTAGAGGAGCTCATCTAGTGTCTTGGAGTCTTAGAAAATTCTTATTCAGGAGCTTAGTGTTTCCCGTTATCTTATATGGAACACAAGTGTGGGGTCCTGGTTGTAAGAAGACAGGTTGGCAGCGTTTGGAGAGGGTGCAAAAGATCTTCTTACAAGAAGAATTGGGTGTGAGGACCCAAACTTCTTATGCAATTCTTCTTGCGGAAACAGGTTGTCTACCTCTTGAGGCTGAAGCTCTCTTTTTGACTATCACTTACGTCAAAAGAGTGAGATCTCTTGATGCTTCTCGACTTCCTCTTGAAGCTTTGCGTGCCACACGTCCCAAGGGTTGGTTTGCAGATGTGGTGACTTGGTCTTTGAGGTGGAATGTGACGGAACTCGATTGGAATTTGCAACCTATTGCCCTACGCGAGCGTATTAAGGAGGAATTTCTCAGCATAATGTGGAGCACATGAGGCACCAAGATGCAGTTTTATCAACTTCATGTGAATCCTATGCTTGTTTATTGTGAGCAAGAATACTTACTTGCAGAGATATCTACTTCTTTACGTCATATTATTGCTAGACATAGAACTGGATCTCATAGTCTTGGGATTGAAGAAGGGCGTTGGTTGAACATTGATAGGAGTGAACGTATTTGTAGGCTATGTGATGGAAGGAAAGTTGAGGATGAAGAGCATGTATTTCTTACTTGTTCTAGGTATGTAGAGATTCGAGTGGCGCATAAAGTTGATGTCGGGAATTTCTTTTCTCTGCTTCAACTCGAGCCTTATGATTTAGGTTGTTACATTAGAGATATTATTAGTTACCGTTCTAGTGCTTTGGGTCCTAGCTAGGGGGTTCTTTTGATTCTCTCCTAGTTTGGAGTTGGATTGTTTGTATTGTGTTTTTTAGCCTTTTGACCCTTTGGGTCCCACGGGCTTGATCTATTTACCATTTACCATTTACCATTTTGATATTTAAATATATATTACATCTTATAGAAAATCCAATAATTATCAACTGAATAAAATACACAAATACATAAATCACAATGGCAATAATTTCAATCTAGTTGATGCATCGATTAAAATCATTAATCTAGATAATTTTACAACAAACTGCATCAATCATGCATTGTTCAAGTAAGGAGCATATCTTTATAATAAAGATTATAAAATTTTAATCTTTGTATGATTTTGAATTAATTTATATTACTCACAATTTAGTCTTATTTGCTTTAATTTACAAAAAAATAATTTTAAGAGAATTTTAGATATTTTATCGCTTAATAATTATTTTAATGACAAATGTCATAATTTCAAAAACTTAATCTTGTGAGAAAGTTTTTAGAAATTATCTCATGTTTCATCGATTTTAGTTTATATGTTTTAAAAATATTTACAAAAAAATTAGAAACATTTAGAGAGCATAGCAAATAGTCATGGAAGTAAAAATTAGTTTTTGGCTCAAATTACAAGACATATACATAAATTTCATGAGATCTTACTCTTAATAGCATATGTTTTTAACATAATTTGTTTTAAATAAAATCTCAATCACTTGTTCTAACTCAAGATAAAACTATCCTCTAAACTTTAGAAAGTATACATATGATTATCAAAATTATATGAGCTTGTATTACTTTTATGGTCATATATTCAAATTTTCAAAATATATAGACGTTAACATTTGCAATAAATTAATTAAATAATCAAAATTTACACAAGTTTTCATTTCTATTGATCCAATTAATTCTAGTTGATGATTTGATGTCAAATATGCTATTTATCATCACAATTTTATACAGTAGGAAAATATTTGTTTAATGTAATTATGAAAAATAAATCTTAACTTTTTGTGACTTTTTGATATTACATTGTACCTAATTCTTTGTTCTAAGTTTTCCAAAAAATATTTATCTGCAATGTTAACTATGTTATAAAAATAAATATAGATTGATTGATTTGCTACATCACTAATGAATGTATATATTTCTTCTCTTGGAGTTTAAATGAAAATGAATGAAATATATTCAAACAAGAAGTATGTGAATAAACATGTGTGAAGTATACATAAGAGTTCAATATCAGTTCCACTTTGATAACCTCATCATCAAAATTGGTAAAAATTAAACACAATGAAATCAACATCTTATACCAAATTTAATTGCACATAATAACTTAAAGTAGGTGAAAAAGTTCAAAACTTAGAAAAAACAACATTTAACTTAGCACATTTTGATAATGTGATCAACTAACAATATATTGTTTGCATGCATTTAAGGTTGTCAAAATTGACCTTTGCACATTTATTTATACTTTTATGACATTTGAGCTCTTCATATATTTTTTGCAATTTGTTTACTTTCATATCACCACGGATGTTTAGCTAGATTAAGATCGTATTAGTTGTTAACTCAAAAAATACATAGTCAACTCAATGAAACTACTCCATATTTACACAAGTTAATTTTTTGAAACTTAAATTTTTTGAATCCATCAATTTTTTCATAGATTTAAATTTACTATTGGAACAAAAGATAAAAGAAATAAATTAGAATTAAAAATTGAAATTAACTTTCTATCCACATAATTTATAAAAATTTATAAATATATACATCATATTGATCATATACACATATTTATTTATTTGCTTACCTACAAAATTATTATTTTATGCTATAAAATAACTATATCATTTTTTTCAAAATCAGAGTGTAAAGTATACACTTTAGTTCTTTCAAATTATCAAAGATTCTGTTAACAGATGAAAAGTTGTTGTGTTATTGTTCACGATTTGAAGAACTTAACTGATTAGATGGGAGCTTGCCGATGTGTCCAAAAGGGAATTAAACAAATGACACAATTTGATTTCATCAAAGTAATGATTTAGCAAAATGTGGTTTTTCTTATAGATGTAGGACTTACAGTTTGACTCCACCCCTGGCATTCCTGGTAAATGCAATTGCACGATTCAATCTTCCAGACCAAGCAATACCACATCCATGATGGTTGTGTGCAACTCTGAACACACATATCAAAAGGCAACGATGTCATGTTGCGAGACAAGGGAGTCCACCATCGAACCATTGCTATGTGCTCGGGAAAAGTTGACGCATATTATTAGATTTATTCTATCAAGCAGTGGGAGATCTTCTACGAAATATGTGTGTTCGGTGAAAGGTTATTCCCATACTCGACATTAGATTCCCTGCATTTAGGAGTGGGAGGTCTCCTCCGAAGTCTGACCTCGTTGTGGCTTGGTTTTCACTTGGAGGCTTCAGCTGGCGTCACGCGGGAAGGCAGTCAAGGGACTCGGAGTAGTATGGGGGGTCAATCTGGGCACAGGGCCCGTTCAGCACAGGCCCGCCCTCACTGGAACCGGTAGTTCCGGGAGAAATAAACCCTAAGTTAAAACCCTCTCCAGTTTCGAATTTCCTCGATCGATACAGTCAATCGATCGATCGAGCGCAGGTTCCCTGACCTCCGAAAATCTGAATGTGGCACTGAGGTGCAGGAGTGGAATGGCTCGATGGGATTGGGGTGGAAACTATCAGGTCTTTCGTATGGCAGCTGGAAGACCTAGCGGATGGTAGATTGGTTGAGTGGTACGCTGGATGTGCTTTTACTACCTCCTCTTGTTCTGCTGCCGTAGTTCTGAAGGTCGGCTGGGAGGTGAAATAGAAAGGGTTTTAGGTAGGAGCATGTCCCAGAGACACGAGGAAAAGTGTATGCACATGGTGCACAAGACGTAGAGTATTTGTTACTACGGGGATTCTGGTGGAGTTGAGGTTCAGGTGCGCACATCGTTCTTCCTCTAGGAGCTGATCGGAAGAACAGTCGTAGGGGCGACGATGGCCATGAAAGAGGCAGACCCCGCATTGGGGTTCTTGACGAAGAAGGAGACAGAGGTGAAATTACCTCGTCCCACTCGTGTAAAGAATAAGACCCCAGCACCAGTGCAAATTACCGCGGAACAAATTTTGAGAGAAGCTCGGGAGCGCCAGGAGGCGGAGATACGACCTCCTAAGCAGAAGATAACTGACGCGGAGGAGCTAGGTGAGTACAGGCTCCGCAGGCGCAAGGAATTTGAAGATCTTATTCGTAGAGTAAGATGGAATACATCTGTTTGGGTGAAGTATGCTCAGTGGGAAGAAAGCCAGCGAGACTTTGCTCGTGCGAGGTCCATCTGGGAGAGGGCCCTGGAAGTGGACTATCGAAACACCACATTATGGCTAAAATATGCAGAAATGGAAATGAAGCATCGGTTTGTGAATCATGCAAGGAATGTGTGGGACAGAGCTGTTTCGCTTCTTCCTCGTATCGACCAGTTGTGGTACAAGTACATCCACATGGAAGAAATGCTGGGTAATGTGGCTGGTGCCAGACAGATTTTTGAGAGATGGATGGCATGGGAGCCAGACCATCACGGATGGTCAGCTTTTATGAAGTTCGAGCTCAGGTACAATGAAATCGAAAGAGTTAGAGCTATCTTTGAGAGGTATGTGCAGTGCCATCCCACCGTAAAGGCGTGGGTGCGCTATGCCAAATTTGAGGTGAAGAATGGGGAGGTTGCAAGGGCTCGGAGGTGTTATGAAAGGGCCATAGAAGAGCTGGGTGAGGATGGGCAAACCGAGGAACTCTTTGTGGCATTTGCGGAATTTGAGGAGCGGTTCAAGGAATTAGAAAGAGCCAGGTGCATATACAAGTATGCCTTAGATCACATTCCTAAAGGGCAAGCCGAGGATCTCTACCGGAAGTTTGTTGGATTTGAGAAGCAGTACGGTGACAGGGAGGGCATTGAAGACGTGATTGTTGGAAAGCGAAGGTTTCAGTACGAAGAAGATGTGAAGAAGAATCCCTTAAACTACGATTCTTGGTTTGATTATGCACGGCTAGAAGAGAGTGTTGGCGACCACGAGAGAACCAGGGAAGTCTACGAAAGAGCCATTGCAAATGTGCCTCCTGCCGAAGAAAAGCGTTATTGGCAAAGATACATTTACCTCTGGTTTGTACCACTGATCCCTCACGATCATTGTCCCCGGAATGTTGTGTCCGTTAACTTGCACCTTTGTGGTATTACCGTCTTTCCCCTTTTAGTCTGCTCCCTCTCTGCTGAAATGATAGACATTCTACGCCATAGATACTCTAAGGTTCCAAAGGCCACTGTCTCTCCTTTTGGTGTTGGAGTCACAGAGGTAGTTTTGATGCCTGGAATACGTATTCATGTGGATCAATGAAAGCTTAGCAATCCTTTCGTGCCTTTCACGAGATTAGACAGCACGTAGCAACAGGGAGGTTCCGCTGAGGTCACATGTGATGAATTTGCCTTTAAAATACAAGCTTGTTAATTGTTTCCCCTCTAAGTGGAGTCCACTTTGACTTCCACCTGCTCTAACTCTTGAGACTCATCTTCTCTGATGATTCAGGGATATGTTCTCGTGTTAACCCTTTGTCATGTGTTAAAGTTCTGGCATTTCCTGTTGTTGGTTGCGTGAAATGAAAGATGAAAGCTTTTTGTTTAGAAGTTTAGTTGTGCTCTCTATGATACAACCTTGCTGATCTCGGCTCCACCGAGGCAGTTCTCAGATTCGCGTTTTCTCAGCAGACTTTCCCAGATGCAAACCGTTGAAAACTACTAATCTGAGTACGAACTGTCGTGCAGGATAAACTACGCTCTGTATGAGGAATTGGAGGCGGAAGATACGGATAGAACTCGGGAGGTGTACAGGTAGGCTTACTAACTCTACAAAACTTTGTGTCAACAATCGAGACGGTTAAGCACGCAAGTCGGATTGTTGACAATTCGTGTAGTTGCGAGCAATTGCATCAGTAATGACGTTGTTGTGATGGGTGTGTAGGGAGTGTTTGAAGCTCATACCACATAAGAAGTTTTCCTTCGCGAAGATCTGGTTAATGGCGGCCCAATTTGAAATTAGGCAAAAGAACCTCCCCGGAGCTCGCCAATTGCTAGGGACTGCAATTGGAATGGCTCCAAAAGATAAGGTCAGTTCATTGAGAAGACGTTCTTATACGGTTTGATAGAGAGATAGTAACTAACTTATGAGTTTGGCCTCATCGAAAGAGAAAACTGTTGTTCTACTAGAAAGCGAAGTTTTCATCTATAGCTAATGAATGATCCTTGTGGAAGTAGATTTGCGTTATCCAGCATGACTGTTTCTTACGTAGCTTTGATTTTAAATAGTCATAAATGAGAGTTGCAGAGTAGAATTGACAGATGTTTTTGTGTCAAATGTTGGTCTGGTATACAGCAGCTTATCTATCAATGTACCATTTTGATCATGTGCTTTCTTGCTTCAGATTTTCAAGACGTACATAGAAATAGAGTTGCAGCTTGGTAACATCGACAGATGTCGGAACCTGTACGAGAAATATTTAGAATGGGCTCCTGCAAACTGCTACGCTTGGAGCAAATATGCGGAGCTGGAGAGGTCATTAGGAGAGACAGATCGAGGAAGGGCGATATTCGAACTGGCCATTGCGCAGCCAGTATTAGACATGCCCGAGCTGCTTTGGAAGGTCTGTTTTGAATTCTTAGTTCAGCATCAGAGAACGTATGATGTGGTGCTACCTCTTACTTCATATGGGATGGCTAGCATCTGCCCATCTTATCTTCACTATTTTGTAAATGTTACTCATACACGTTCACATGGATTTTACAGGCATACATTGATTTCGAGATATCCGAAGTGGAGCACGAGCGAACCAGACAGCTTTACGAGAGGCTGCTAGATCGTACTAAGCACTTGAAAGTCTGGGTCAGTTATGCTAAATTTGAGGCTGGTCTCCCATTAGAAGAAGAGTCAATCTCTGAGGAGGAAGGCCGAGAACCTGATGCACAGATACTCGAAACGCAAAAGCAGCAACGGGTTTTGAGATCGCGAGGTTTGTCTTTTACAAACGCTGTCTTTTCCACTCCGATCAGCGCAAGTCGAAATGAGTGAATGGCCTAATCGTTGCCCAACCTTGAATTTGAAAACCTTGAGATTGAAGTCTGTTCTGATGTTCACTTTCTTGCATTTGTTCTGATTTGATCTCAGGGGTGTTTGAGAGGGCCTTTGAGAGCTTCCGAAGTTCTGCTCCGGAGCAGAAGGAGGAGAGGTCTATGCTTTTGGAAGAGTGGCGAGAAATAGAGCGCAGCTTTGGGGACTTGGGAGACGTAGCATCAGTCCAAAAGAAGATGCCACGTCGGGTGAAACGCAAACGTCCTATCATTTCAGATGATGGGACAGCAGCTGGGTATGGTTTCTTGAGATCAATGTTTTCTAGCATACCTACTTTTGAGATAATTTGATCACTCTGTGTGCATCAGTACATGTCCCCCTTTACGTTGTGCTCACATGGATCCGGATGATGTTTTTCTACAGATTTGAGGAGTACACGGATTACATCTTTCCAGAAGAAACTGGCATGGCTCCCAATCTCAAAATCTTGGAGGCTGCACGCTTGTGGAAGAAACAGAAAATTGCAGAAGAAGACGAAGATGATGAATAACAGTTTGAAATTTCAATGTGCTGTACATATATTGTTCCATTGTAAAATTACCATGAAATTTTGGTCGGTGAATACGGTCTATAAGTTTGTGATTGAGTTCAGATAATTTTCACTGGATGTCTTATTATATCCATGCCTTTGTTGTTTATACACGTTTGTTGTCATGGCCCTTATAGAGTGATACACGTTTGTTATCTTGTTCCATTTTCGCTCCTCCTGCGACAGGAAGACCTAAGTTGATTTCGCGACTTGCCGACAGATTGCACTTGCGAATTTCCCATCGTGTCTGTTGTTTATCTGTTGTTATTTAAAACATGTTGGGTCAACACGACTATGAAACGGGTTTGATACAAGAATAAAAGTTGGTTCTGTGAATTCACGTAACGAGGATAACGGCTCGAAGGATTACGAGTCTAGACTTTGCACATGGGGAACACCTTCGTTCGCGTATCAAAACTCTGAACCATCTCGCTTGTGACGCTCCTAACCGTTTCGAATCACTTTCGATAAAAAGGGTAAGAATGCAGGGGTAGACGGACACCTGTACAGATTATCTGGTGGTACATCTGATCCCAAGCGTCACCCCTCGAGGCTGATCACCTACAGAACAGAAAAAGGACTGAAACTGGAGACACAAACTATACATAGTCGAACGAGTTTGTTCATGTAACATTATGGAGCGTATCCCCACTCAAACAACACACCCAGTGTTTGGACTGTGGAAGTAGAAACTTCCGTGCTGCTCGTCAGACAAGACTTGTACCTTGTTTCTTAGTGGTTTCTTGTTAATCTGGGTCAAGTTCAAGAGACTAGAATACTGAATGGTCCTTTTGGAAACTAAACTGGAATGTGTTGATTCATATTTTCTTAACCGAAGAGTGTTTTTATGGAGTGCACAGAACGGCGAATGCCCTTGAGCGAGAAGAGGAGTGGGGCCTCTGAGCTTCAGTCGGTGGAAAAATGCCCGCCACTTCATGCACTTTCTGGAAATAGCGGAGGACCGTTTCATACCAAACGGCAGACCGAACGGGCATGTTGTCTTGGTGTTTTATTACTGCAAGGGATTCGGGTGACCGTGACAGTGGATCGAATACGTGAAGTGCTCAGGATACCCCCAGGGCCCACAGCTATTAATGTGGGAAGCGTGAACGTGTCTAGGTGTCTCCGAATGCTGAGTCTTGTCTTCTACACCTGATCAGGCCCTTCCCAGCTCCGTAATCTGCTAAAATATTTCCCACTCGCTGGGCGTCCTTTGTGCGAGGAGTACACAAAGCCTAAAAGTTCTGACATAAAAAGTGGGACTGGTCTGCTGAGTTTGACTCTGCGGGACGCACACTGCGTTCTTTCGATCTTGGGATAATATGACGACTTCTGTAATGTGGACTTTCACTTCCGGTGATGTTTTCTGAAAGACGAGTCAAACCAAGCTCTATATACAGCAGCATATATGCTCCACATATGCCGAGCTAGAACCCTTTAGGATTAACGCTGCGGTTTAAGGTTGGTCCAAATGATCTAAAGCTCCAGATTTGGTTGCAGGATAGCACCGCATTCTAATGCAGTCCGTCTGTGGGAGATAGATCGGACGCAAGACTGCAGAAAAAGAAGTTTCTGGCTGGATAGGGGGCAGTCTGGGGAGACAGACACGGCGTGTCAAACTCAAGGGTTGGTCGGATCTCTTTGCCTTTTATAAGACACAGAGAGGAACAGTGAAGAGGCTAGGGAGAACACGTGCAATTGGAAGTGGATTTCGATGAAGGTTTCCCAAACCTCCTGACGCACGATTCCGATGAATGCAGCAAACGACGAATGCAATTACTGACTGCGCACTCCACATACGGGATGAGGCGTCCATGAGTAGCAAGAACGTGGGGACCATTGAGGTAGGGGCTGATCGTCCTGTCTGTCTGCGGCTCTCCTCCGCCCATGCCATGCCACTGTCCACTTGCAGATGCACGGGGATGGGAATCGTGCGAGTGCTGCGGCTCAAGTTCTTGCTCTGGTATTTTATCCAGCTTTCTAGCCTCCAGCTGAACAAGAAGCTCATCTGATTGAATAGGTTGCATGCGCGGTTTTCGCCTTGAAGTCGGAATTGTCCCCTGTGGCTCATGGTGTTCAATGGTGCTGTTTCTGAGTCGGTCTCTCGTCAACGTATTTCTGAGGTGCGAAATTCCACAGGAGGCCACTGAGTCAGAGCTGCGAGGGGCGCAGCCGTCTTGAGCGCTAGGCCGCTGTATCAGTTCTGAGTCGACAGAGTAACTCGTCGCGCCAGATCTCTTTCGTTTACCTCGAGTTGGCGTGGAGGGGTCACCGTCGTCCTGCAATCTCATTCTGCTTCGTTCGAATTAGAGACATCGGAGGAGTATCAGTGCTGGTCCTGTGGTACCTGACAGGAATTCTCGCGAGCGCTATGGGTATCCTCGAACCGCAAATGTCCGTGAAGCAGCAAATTTTCGATCCGATCATGGTTTGCGAGGGATCATAATTGGTGCCAGTCCGACTCCGTTCAGAGCTTGCGCCGTCTAAGAAGCGGGGCGAAGATGGCGAACGACATGCTGTACCCGGCTGTGTTCTCGGGCGATTTCGAGAGAGTGAGCAGCTTGCTGTCAAATATCGGGGACGAGGGGGCGGACATCGACGTGAACATGAAGGCGGGCAAGGCGCAACTGGCGCCGCTGCACCACGCGGCGAAGAAGAACCACGTCGGGATCACGGATCTGCTGCTGGCGCACCCGAACATCGACGTGAATGCGCAGGACCGGTCGCTGCGCACGCCTCTGCACTTGGCCTGCCGGAAGGGCTACACGCAGATCGTGGCGAAGCTGCTGCAATGCTCGGAGGCCATCGACGTGAACGCCAAGGCCAAGGGCGACATCACGCCGCTGCACCTGGCGGCCTATTGCGGCAACGACGAGGTGGTGGAGCTGCTGCTGGAGCATCGGCTGATCGACCTGGACGCGCGCACCGCGGACGAGAGATTCACCGCGCTGCACATGGCGGCGTGCAGCGGCTACGACAGCATCGTGCGGATGATCCTCGACGCGCACCGCCGGCACAAGATCGAGGAGCAGCTGCGCCCGATCATCAACGCCGAGGACCGGCTGGGGCGCACGCCGCTGCACTACGCGGCCTGCGAGCAGCGCCTGGACGTGGTGCGCGAGCTCTTCCTCTCGACCTCGTTGCACGTGAACACGGGCGACCGCGACAGCTTCACGGCGTTGCACCTGGCCGCGCGCAAGGGCCACGTGGCCATGGTGCAGCTGCTGCTGGGGCACGGCGAGCTCGACCCGAACGTGGGCGCCAAGAGCAACCAGGAGACGCAGAAGCTGGCCAAAACCGTGCAGGACAACGCGGTGTGGGGCGAGCTGCCGCGCCCGCGCCTGACCGACTACATCTTCTCCGAGGTGTGCAGCAAGATGACGGCGCTGCACTTCGCAGTCGAGTTCGCGGTCGAGGCGCGCGAGGAGGAGGACCAGAAGGAGGTGGCGCTGGCGCTGGTGAACGCCCTGCTGGCGCACCCGAACATCGACGTCACCCTCGAGAACAGCAAGCGCCAGTCCGCCGTGGACCTGAGCGTGCAGATGAAGCTCGACTACCTGCTCGTGACTCTCATCCCGCGCACCAACGACGTCTGCAATGTGTGCGGCAAGCTGCTGAAGCACATCCTGCCCAAGAAATCGTACGAGCCCCTGGTGCGCCTCATCGTCAAGGAAATCCACGACCACCTCGACGGCCTCGAGCTCAAGATCGGGACGGGCAAAAAGTTCGACGTCACCCTGATTCACAAAGTCGCCTTCGCCGGCTACGACAAGCTGCTGGACATTCTGTTGAGCATTCCGGAGCTCGCCCTGGAGATCAACGCAGAGGACAGCGACAAGCAGACCCCGCTGCACTACGCGGCCATCGGCGGGCACACGTCGGTCGTCAAGGTGCTGATTTCGAAGCCGGCTCTCCGGGCCAACCAGGAGGATCGCTACAACATCACCGCGCTCCAAATTGCCATCCAGAGCGCGCGGAAAGACATCGAGAAGCTGCTGCTCGAGCGGCTCGATGTCAAGGACTGGGTCGACCGGCTCTACCGCGACAGGCAGGTGTATGTGGATGCAGCGAACGCCATTCTCGTGGGCGCCGCCCTTATCGCCAGTGTCACGTACGCGGGCTGGTTGCAACCTCCGCTCGGCTACACTCCCTACTACGAGTTCCCTGTCCCCGATCCGGCTCCTCCCGACACTTATCAAGTCTATGCGTCCGTCCAACAGCACGCGAGCACGCGAGTTTTCTGGGTCTGCAACAGCTTGTCGTTTTTTTCTGCCATTGCGACTGTCATCGCAGGAGCGGGAGCCGTGTTGCCCATGTTAGATGTGTTCATCGGCGAAGAAGTTCGAGTCGTTCGGAGGTACCTCGTTCTGACTTCGATTTTGCTCGTATTCGCGGTGGTTTTCGTTCTAGGCGCATTCGCCGCAGCAGGATTCGCATCGTTGCCGCCTATTTTCAGTCTGCAGGTTAACATGATCGCCACGAGCGTGATAGGAATCCTACTGTGCATATCAATTTTGGTCTGGTTCCTTAGGCGCCTGTACAGATTACGACCCAGTTGGTGGCGTAACATTGAGGAGAGTTTCTTCCCTCGTCGCGCTCTCAGTCGACATAAAACTCCGGCTGACTTTTTTTGACATCTGCTCCACCTCGCCTCGCCTCGTCTCTCGCCTTCTGGATGCAATGTTGCTGATTGATGACCGGATCCTCCTTCATGGCTACTTCCATTTGTGTATCGTCAAAGTCAAAGTTTCTCGACCCAACCACAAACCTTGTTCTATTTCTCGACCCGAAACTGTCGCCCGAATTGATCTATCGCACAGACACAGCATGACTGTGGCACGGAACAAAAACTTGGACATCACATTGCCCACCAGCACCAGGGCATGATCAATACGTATCCGATGCAATTTGTCTGTCCAGTCCACGAACCTGATTGGGGAAGGAACTGAAAGGACTGTGCTGTGTGAACGTGAAGCGAAGTACGCAAATGTGAGGACTCGGTGGCACTTCAACACAGCGAATATTGTGGTTTTTAACGAACTTGCAGGAAGTGAGAACACGTATTTGTATAAGAAATCAAGTACACGTTGGTCTAAGAGGACATTATACAAGGTGCTAAGGACTCATAAGTCGGAAAAAACCCCTCAGACAAGCGACGGCGCTTGTCAGCTAAACAGCCAGAGGTATTGGATGTCGTAGTGACGACGTTTACATATTAGCAGGCCTCATAAAATTAATCAAATGACTATTTAAACTAAATTTCCGGAATTTAGTTATTTTTTCAAAATGAAATTAGTCAAAATAGTCATATCCCCTAAAAGTGCTATATTTTTATTGAAATCATCTATAACGCGCAAAAAATGGTCAGTTTGGAGGTGTATTCACTTTTGATGCAACATCCGAGTACGCTGTAGAATGCCTTCCAGTGAAAAATTGATCAAAGAATGACGAAAATCGTCCTTTTCCCATTTAAGAACGGAGAAATCGGACTCAACAGAGGCGGTATTTGGAAATATTGAAGCAAGGCCGCCCGTGAAGAACAAAGATCCGATTATTCAAAAGCGATGCTTTCAATTTTTCACGCTTCGTCGAAATTTGCTGTTACAGGTCACAGGAACGAGATAACAGAGACTTAAACCGAGGTTGTTTCTCACACCGTAATTTCAGCGCGCGCTGTTGAGAGCAAATCTCCTCAATTCTTTTGTCGTTCCATGTGACAGAAATCCAAGCGTGATGTTGTTCAACGAGTTCAATCAATTCTCTGGGTCGCATTTCTACAAATACCAGAGGAAGTGTGAGCAGAGTCTTGTTCACAAAGCCGCAATTGAATTCATCGAGCTCAGCTCGGACGTCATGCAGACCAACAATCAAAGTGCTGAACATTTTAGCAACGTTTTCAAGAATCTTATTGATTTCATCCGACCGTAATCTCCTCAAGAAGTGAAAGACAAACATGCCTTGATCGGTCACAAATCCATTGAGTTCATTTTTCAAATAGCTAAAGCCATTGCATTGAATTACGTCTTCAACAGGCCCAGCCGGAAGATCTACCACCTCCTGAGCAAACACCAGCTTGCGAATTCGCTTGATACATTCTTCGATCTCAAAACGACTATTGGCCTAAAAGGGCATGTTTTCCCTGCAAACGTTGAGATGTCTCATTGAAGTTTGTCGCAATAACATTGACTGCAGCCAGATATATCCAAAAAGAAGTTATAACCATCTTTGGTTAGTTAAAACTAAAGTAGAGATTACTCTAAATATTGATATATATAACTTTAGTGTGCACTTGTCATAGCTACCACGTCAATGATCCGCGCACTTGGTAGGTACAGAGTGGATGTGTTAGTTGACAGTGACACGTCAGCATTCCGTGTGCTTGTAGGTAAGGATTGAATGTGTTAGTTAGTGTGTTAGTTGGAAGCGTCACGTTAGCTCTTCGTGTGCTTGTTAGGGTTATCCACCACGTCATCCATTCACTATGAGTGGGATGGATGGTGAGGATAAGATCTTATCTCCTTGTACTTGTTGGTGAGAGCTATATAAGGGAGAGGAGGACCATTGTTGGTATCTCTCATATTTAGAGTTTACCTTTCTATCTTCGAGTGAGCTTCTCTCTAAACCCTAGTGTTACAAAAGGCAACGTTTCGCTTCTACGTCGCTCTGAGCTAAGCTCTTGATAATGCTCTAGAATTTCTGTTCGATGTTCAAGAAGATAAGATGAAACACGAGACATCAAAATCCAACAAGTTCCAAAGAGCGTCGGGCAAGTCGATTGACCGACTGAAATCGATTTCAGTCGGTCAATCAATGTCTTTTGTCAACGTAGATGCGAAATCGTACCGATTAATGCCAGATAAAACTAGCCGTTATCAACTTTACGAAAGAGCTTTTGTATCACAAGGTCAATCTGATGCAGAGCACACCAAATTTGGACAAATCCGAATAGCCCGACGTTTGCAATACGAGTGACTAGCTCAGAAATATGGCCTGTCATGTTTGCAGCACCATCCGTTGAACATGCAATGAGCTTAGACTTCCAGTTAGTGCACAAAGCATTGAAAACCGTTTCAATCATGTTAAACATTGCAGAACCAGTATGGCTTCTAGAAAACGGAATTGCAATAAGATGTAATTCAGAAGTTTGCCGCTGGAATAAAGCCGAACGCGAACGTCAATGTAAGAGGTACTTTGACAGTCCGATCCATCAACTGCAATTGCAAAGGTCCAAGCTTCATACAGCAACTGCAAAATATTTTGGAAAGCAACGGCACAAACCACGCGAACGTACTTCGCCATGATCAAGTCATTGCAATTGCCGAGCTAGACACAACTGGTCACAATTTTTGCATCTTGAATTGCAAATGCTGCCTGACGAAACGAAAGCACTCTTCCCACAATAAGTATGGCCAGCTGATATTGTTTCACCTGCTTCACTACAACCTCGTACTTGCTGAAGACTTCGTTGAGACGAAAAAGAAAAGGGCATTTGATCTGAAATGATCGCTAACAACATCATCCGGATTCGAGAGTATTCCTCCGATAATAATGTCAACAATACCTTTTTCGAAGATGAAAATCAATTGTTATGATTGGTTGTTCAAATAATGTAGCAATCTTGCGGATCAGTAATCCTCGGGTTTGCATCTAATTTGAGTTAAATGCTCTCCCAAGTAAACCGCTCCGACTTCGTTCCCACGAAGACCTACAGTTTACTTCTTAACCTAATAGAACCTATCCTACAATTTTTGGAAGTTGTACCTTCCAGATTCGGACTAGAGCGATCCGGATCAGAGTGATGGAATTTCCGGTCAGATTTTTAAACAAGTGGCTAGGACCACTGAGAGCTTTATTTAGAGTGGTCGGTTTAACCACTGACAGACATATTTTAAGTGATCGGACTATCATTGCCTTGTATTTTTTCACATAACTGTACATCCATTAAACTCTAACCTGCCACATGGTACTTTGTTAGTTGCGTCTGACTTACTCTCCCACCGCCCAAGTGTTACTCCGTCACAGATACGGTCACGTAGAGTTTGTCTAGACTACAACGACATTGCAACTAAACTGCACATAACGTACTTAATGAATCCTCAGGATTTTGTCTAGGTTTATCTTCTAGACCTACTCATAGGCTTTTCGAGAGAGGAATTTTGGCCTTAGCTCAGAATTCATACGACGATCACTTGTACTGTAAAGACCATCAAGAACACCTTGTTACACGTCTCCTTCCCTCCAAGCTACTTGGGCCACGAAAAATATCAGGTTCTTCTGCTTGTTCCTGCCTCCAACAGCTAAAGTGATTTCGTATTATAGGTTCCAATAGATTCTTCTCAAAAATGAGCAACAAGAGTATACACCAAGTAGAAAAATATGCAACAGTCACCCACAATGGATCTTGCCACTAGACTCGTCGTGCTTTGCATCAAGTCATCAAAGAAAATAAATTTCTTTTCTGATGGGAAAGCACACAAACCTCACGGAAAACAAGATACCAATCTACTAAGCGTCTTGGCTTTAAGTAGTAACTCCTACATAATCTTATCCCTTGCTGAAAAATCCCAGAGATCTCGGACTTGAACCCGTGGCGACCTCAAATCCTAATCCCCCAGCTCCAAATTCTATTTTTGACTTCTGGCGGAATATCTTGGTTTTGGTGGGTGGGGCAAAAACATTCACTGAGGAAGCTTCTTGGGACTCTTCCTTCCTTCCGAGCAGTCCGTTTTTTATTGTACCTGTCTCCAAAGTTTCAACCACCTTCTCCAAGTTGTATATTGTACTTTAGCCACTTTTTGAGTTTAAAGAACTTGGCGGTACACCTAAACCCTAAACTGTATTCCACAAACCTAATTTTACCATAAACCTACCTAGTATAGTACTTATTCATTACTTTTGTCCGCTTTGTTGGTACAAAACCGGGATTGTGTGGGAACAGGTTACCACAAATAAAAAGGAATCATTTTTGCTGCCTTGACACTAACATCAAAGAAATCCTTTTTCTCAGCATCTGAAAGGAACTGGTACTGAGCCTATTTCTGAGCATGCTGACACTCAAGATGACTCCGATAATTCTGTGAACGAATCGGTGACTTGAAAATCCAGCAAGACTGTGATCCTTTCTTCTCGCGACCAAATGCAACACAGTAACGGCAACGAACTCCTAAACAACGTCTCTTGGACCATGATCGCAAGGTTTTACGTCATACATTAGCTCATGCTTTGGTTGGAATAGCGTCGTAACAGATTCAGAACTCTACTACTTTTTGCAAAGAGGCTCAGTTGCCATGGGAGCAGGTGCAAGGAGCGACAGAGAATGGATAGGAGAGCAGAGGGAGACTGCATGAACGGACTCCACACAATCTAGAATTTACAGAACGCTATGGACTCCACTCGGTCCGTAGCTTTCCGAAAATTCTAGAAAAGTTGTTGTAGAAAAACATTTTAAAATTAGTAATTTTTTCAAAGTGAAATTAGTCAAATTAGTCATCTATTTAGAGATTGACTATTTTTATGAGGCCTGCATATGAACCATGTGATGTAATGTGAGACCGAAAGAAAGATATAGCATGAGGATCGTATTTAGCCAGGTCATGAGAACACTTAAAGATGTGTCTACATCCGTGGAGATAATAAGACATGAATATAAAAATAGAAGTGTCTAGTTGTGGTCATTTTGTCTTCTTATCGTACAAGTTCACAATGGAGATGATTTAAGATCTCTAGAGGGAAAGCATCTACAAAAGGTCGACCAGGATGTTGGATCTCTTTGTTGTGTGATGCTGCCATCTTTGCTGGGATGTTGTCTACAATGCTACGGGCAAAAGATTCCTGTTCTAAAGGATATGAAA